GACGCTGCAGTCCCTGTGCCTCACAACACCCACTGAGGAGGCTGTGTACTGTTTCTACAGCAATGGCTCAGATGAGGAGCCATCTGCAGCGGTGGGGGTGACACCTTCCCGGTGGGCATCTGCTATTCCCCGGGCAGTGAAGAGGGAGCGCCTGACTGGCAGGAAGAAGGCACAGGCTGTGCCCAGGGCCACAATGCCTGCCCGGGCCCAGCCCAGCCTCATTGCTGATGAGACACCACCATGCTATTCCCTAAGCTCTTCCACCAGCTCCCTCAGCGAGCCCGAGCCTGAGGCCAGCAGGCTCCAAGCCCATGAGCGGGTGGTCACCAAGGATCCAGGCCCAAGAGGTGGGAATGATGACTGTCCCAGTCCTCGAGCCAAGGTAGAGCTGCTGCGGCGCTGCACTGGCTCAGCCACACCCAAGCGCTTGCCACAGGTGTCGGACCCAAGGCATCGCAAACCCCAAAATGCCCGGCTAGACAAGCAGCCAACAGAGGGGCTGCAGGAGCACAGTGAGGAGGCAGCAGGGTCAGACCATGCTTCGGACCTGGACAGCATTGAGTGGCGCGCCATCCAGGAGGGCGCCAACTCCATTGTCACCTGGCTTCACCAGGCGGCAGCAGCAGCCACCCAGGAGGCCTCATCTGAATCTGACTCCATCTTGTCCTTTGTGTCAGGGCTGTCAGTGGGCTCCACCCTGCAGCCCTCCCTGCACAGGAAAGGGCATCAGGCACAAGCAGAGGGGCAGGCCAGCAGTGCCACTCAGCCAGATAAACGGGACTTGACCCTGACCCAGCGCAGTAGCAGTCCCCGCTTGCCCTGCGGCCCAGAGAAGTTTCGTGGTGCTCAGAAGACCACATCTGGGGTGCCAGCCATGCTCCGAGGAAGGACAGTGATCTATGTACCCAGCCCGGCCACCAGATCCCAGCCCAAAGGCACCCCTGGCCCCCGCACCACACCAAGGAAGATGAGACCCCTGAGCCCTGTGCAGCCAGCAGCTCCCACCAAAGCCCTGGGCCCCGGGCAGCAGAGGTCTCGGAGCCTGCACAGGCCTGGCAAGATCTCAGAGCTTGCAGCCCTGAGCCCTCTCCAGAGGAGTGCTACGCCACCAGCCCGCCTCACCAAGACTCCCTCATCCAGCTCCTCCCAGACCTCCCCTGCCTCCCAGCCACAGTCCAGGAGGTCACCCCCAGCTGCCCATTCTTCAGGGTCCCTGCCCAGCCCTGGGGCCTCAGTGGTGCCCAAGACACCCATGCGGGCCCTCATGGCCAAGCAGCACAAGACGCAGAAGTCACCAGTGCGGATCCCCTTCATGCAGAAGCCTGCCAGGCGGGGGCCACCACCTCTGGCTAGGGCAGCCCCAGAGCCAGGCCCCAGGGGTCGGGTGGGGCCCAAGGGGTGTCCAGGTGCCCGAGGGGGCCGCCTGGGCCTGGTGCGCATGGCCTCGGCCCAATCCAGTGGCAGCGAGTCCTCTAACCCCTCGGGTTTCCGGCGGCAGCTGACCTTCATCAAGGAATCACCAGGCCTGCTGCACCGACGTCGTTTGGAACTGTCCAGAGCTGCTGAAGCCACCCCCTCCACCTCCCAGGGCAGCTCACCCCGCCGCTGTAGCCGACCTGCGCTGCCCACTGTCTTCCTCTGCTCCTCCCGCTGCAGTGAACTGCGGGCATCCTCCCCACAGGCCTTGGTTCCCCAGCAGCCTCCTGCAGCTCGGTCAGGCCCCAGTAAGCGGCCACCAAGGCGCACTAGTTCAGAGAGCCCATCCCGTCTGCCCATCCGCAAGCAGGCCACCCAGCCAGAGGCAGTCAAGCGCTATGCCTCTCTGCCCCATATCAGCATGGCGAGAAGGCCAGAGGGTGCTGCCCCTAGTCCCACAGCTGATGCTGCCCGCCGCAGCAGCGATGGGGAGGCCCGGCCCCTGCCCAGGGTAGCCTCACTGGGCACCACATGGCGTCGCATCAGAGATGAAGATGTACCACATATCCTGCGGAGCACACTGCCCTCTACCGCCCTGCCGCTCATGGGCACCTCATCAGAGGAGTGCCTGAGTGGTCCCCTGCAGCGCAAGACCAGTGATGCTGTGGTCCAGACGGAGGATTTTACTGCCACCAAGACCAACTCCAGCACGTCCCCAAGCCTGGAGAGCCGGGGCCCCCCCCAGGCCCTGGCCAGCAGACCTCCATCCCTCCTTGGCAGTGATGTGGATAAGCCTGGCCCTGCCAAGGCACCCACCTCGACCCCCTTCATCCATGAGGGCCTGGGAGTGGCTGTAGGGGGCTTTGCTGCCAGCCGGCATGGCTCCCCCAGCCGCTCAGCCCGAGTTCCCCCCTTCAATTATGTGCCCAGCCCCATGGTGGTAGCCACCACTGACTCAGCTGTGGAGAAAGCCCCCGTGCCCACTGACCTCCTAGAATAGTTGCCTAGACAGATTTTCTGGCACATCCTCTGGCCAAGAGCCATCTGGTTGTCCTGAGGGTGGTCCGGGGAACTGCCTGCCTACCTGAGCCCCTGCCCTCAGAGCCCCACCCCAGCCCATGCCAGCCTCACATCTCATGCTTGCTTCTATGCTGTGGGGACTGAAGAAGGAAATTGACCACAGGCTGGACCTTAAGTCTAAGCCTGGCCCACATGCAGAGATGACCCTCCTGACCCCCAGCCCCATTGCACCTAAGTCTCAGCAGGACACTCATCTCTGGGGTGCCAAGGGAGATTACAGTATCCACCTGAGATGGAGGATGAGGCTTCAGAGGGTGGTGCCATCCAGCGCCTGCCAGCTGAGCCTGAGGCATCCATCAGAGGACAAAGCCCATTATTATGGGGACAGCCAGGTAATTTGTTAATGACAACTGCTGGTTTGTTTGCCTCCTCAGTCCTAGCTGAGGAAGCATGAGACAGGACCCCCACTTTAGCTGCCAAGCCAGGGACTGATGGATGGAGGGAGCACTGTCAGAACAGCCTGAAAGGAGCAAGGAGAGAAGGGCAAAGGAAGACTGGACTGGTGATTCAGGGCCACCCCATGTCCTCACTCCTGGCTGGGGTGGTGCTGGTTTCAAGAAAGGAGGAAGGGGGGTACCAGGTTGATGAGTAGAGTCAGGACCAGCTTTGGTGGGTGAGGTACAGTGGGAAGGAGAATGAGAGTCACAGCCAAATCCGGTTTACCTTGGCAATACACAAAGCCCTGGATCTACAGGGCACAACTTTGGGGACTGGGGTGGGGCTGGCGCCTGGCCTCGGAGGAGGTGTGGGACCTAGAGCCCCAGTACTGTGGTCAGGCCAGCTGGATATGTGGAAGCCAGGGCTGCTGGGGTGCTAGTGTGTTAGTGTCAGAGGAGGCAGAGATTGGGGGGGCAGTTCCGGGAGCCTGGTGGGTCTCCTTGGCCCTGCCAGTGTGTTTGTGCTGAGGTCCCTTGCTCAGCTTTTTGCAGATACAGCAATGACCTCTTTCCTGGGGAAGCCTGGCTCTAAGAAGCTGCTCTAAGGCTCACAGATCTGCAGAGAGCCACCCCAGAGGGACCAGAGAGCAGATGCCATTTAGGTAAACTGGCAACACACGAAAACTAGACTTAACGTCCCTTCTCTGGGAGGTGGGGAAGCAGGATTGAGAGTTGGATGGAAGTGCAGAAGGAGCCCCCGTCCCTGTCCATGGGCACCACTGTCCCTCCCTATCCCCTGTCCATGTAAGAAGCTGACCCAGGAGCAGAAGTGTTTTCTCCACTGGACTGTCCTCAGTTCCAGGGGCCACACTGATTCTAGCCCCCACAGATACCGTGCTGCTACTGCTAACACATCTGTGTCATGTTGCATTATAAGCCCTGGAACACCCTGTCCTCCAGGACAGTTGCCAGGATTCTGTCCCAGAAGGCCACAGGCAGGACACAGGAATGGCTAGATGTACCAAGTGCTCCTCCTGTGACCCAACTTCCAGGATGAGATGGCACACAGTGGACCTGGGCAGGGCGTTGTACACACCCACAGCTGACCACTTGGGACACTGAAGGAGGTGTCTCTGATGCATCTCAGAAACCACGCCTCATTGTCTCCATCCTTAGCCTGAAGGAATGGGACTGGGTGATCTCAACTCCTTTTTAAGTGCAGGGGCTGTCAGATGTCTGCTCTCACATTTACCATGGGCCAGCTACCTCCCAAAATAGCCTGGTGGGAGGGGAAGCCATGAAGACCAATACACAGCTTGCCCAGCCATAGGGAATCTGAAGTGATGGGGCCTGGGGGTGGAAGCACCCATGCACTGTGAGACCCTGGGTGGTGCTCTCAAGACTATGTCTCAGTTTCCCTATGTGGGACAAAAGGAAAACTCCCAGAGCTACTTCTAGAGCCAGAGCGGCTGCTGTGACTTGGTGAGAGGCCTAGAACCTCCCTGGCTGCCCCTTGCTTCAGAAGGGGGCAGTTCCCATCTCAGCCAGCACACCAGGAGCTCATGCCCTCTCTATGTCCAGCAGCCACATTTGCCTTCTTTGTTCCTGTGACAGAGGCACAGCCACACCTCACAACCGTGCAGGGCAGGACAGTAGGGGCTTTGGGCCCTGGGAAGAGTGGCAGTCACTGGACAATTGATTCTAGGCCTGAGTTGGAAGACTAAAATCTTAGGACCCAAAAGACATCTCCCACGAAACCTTGATCCCTTCAGGGCTGCTCAGCCACCTGGCCATGCTGAGGGGACCCTGTTTGCCTCCAGAGCACCCTCAGCCTGTGACCTTGAACAACCACCACCAGCTGGGTGCTGAATTGGGGGTAACATGCCTGCAGGTGCAGTGCTGCCTCACCCTCTCTGCCCACCTATCATCTGGCCAGCGGCCATAGCACCCCACCCTGAGCCTAGTTGTTTTGGTTCATCCATCTCTGTGCCCCTTGAGTCTATGCCCTGGGTCCCTACAGTGGTACAAGATGTGTAAATACATAGAGCCCTGTTCCCACCCCCCCACCCCAATCAACCTAAAGCCATCGTCTGGTGGAAGAAAGGCACAGAACCAGGCGTCTCATGTGCACCTTTAATAAATGGAGCTGTTGAATCTTGCTCTACATGGCCCCGTTTCCAAATGGGTGTGAATAGGGAGGGGCTGGAGTACTTTGTGGAAACCAATCTGGTTTCCATCCAGATTGTCCACCTTGGGTCCATGTGCTAGAGGCAGATTGGGCTGCAGGGTTTGTACAGGGAGAGGACTCAAGACAGGTGGATGCACAGGGGAAGGTAACCAGAGTGTCTCACTCTGATCCTGGGGGTGTGGAGGGAGGGTGCTCTGGAGCCCCCAGACTCAGACTCAGGTGGCCCCACCTGGAGGCCAAGAATGTGCAGGGAGGGGTGACCTCCCAGTCCAGGGCAGCAGGGTACCTTTGAGATATTAGCAGGTAGACCCAGGGGGCGCTGGGTAGTGTAATCTCAGTGTCTACCACCCTAACTGGAGCCAAGCCGGCATTTTCTGAATGCCTGTGCCCCAACAAGTTTCAGGGGTTTCTCAAGTTTAAGCAGATACCCCTTCTTCAGAGGAAAGAGAAACATCTCCTGGGGATGCTGGGTCACCCTTGTCAAGGACTTGCCTTGTGTGTCCAGGTACTTCCCTAAGCTCCCGGGGAAACCTGGAAAAGAGTGGCTCACAGAGGCACTGTCCAGATGGCTGGTGGCAGTGGGGATTTCATCTGAGGAATTTTGTGGGGACACCTAAGATAGCCTGGTCTGCCAGGATGGAGGTGGCTGGATGAGGAGGGCTCCAAGCAAGTAATGGACAGCTTGTCCTATCTTGGGAGCCCAGGCCAGCACTCCCATCTGATGGATCCCACAGCCAACAGGTTGGTCTTGCACCCCAACTGTGAACCAGAAGGACAAGTGCTGCCCTAGAAAAGAGCCCACGCCTTAGATCAAGGTGCTTGGGGTCACTGGAGGCCCCATCTCAGATCTGGGCCCTGCTACACAATCACTCCTCACATGGCCATAGCCACTGGGCTAAAGGAGAGGATAGAACCCCCATCCTCTTCTGGAATATCAGGGAGCCCCACAGTTCACACAAAGGTGGGCCCAATCTAATGGATGATCGGTGAAGCAGGGTCACCAAAGGAAGGAAGGGGAGGATGGGTTCTGAGGCCCCACACCAAATCCAAGCTGATGGTAATCAGGCCCCAGAAGAGAAGCCTGGGGGTGAATGGCATCCACAAAGACTGTCGTGAACCTCGGTGAGGGGCCTGTGTCCAGCTGAGGCAGGTGTCCCTCCTCATTCCGCACTGTCCCTGCTGCAACAACACACTGGGCAGGCTTTGTCCCCTGGGGTCTCCAGGTACCAAGGTGAGGCTTAGCCATGAAACAGAGAGCCCAGAATCTGTTTCTGGGACTCAGGGGCCCATGTCTGAAGTGTGCCAGGCCAGGACCAAAAGTTCCAGGAGGCCATGGGGTGCACTGTCCGGAGACTGCATGCTCAGGCAAGACTGAGGGTCAGGTCAGCCTGAGAAGGGGGTTGCGGCCCCTGACAGCGCCACCTGCTTCACCTGGATGATGTCCCGCTCCAGCTCCTGGCCAGCTTGCCGAAGGTCCTCATACCTCTGTCTTAGCTCATCACCTGCTTGCTTTAGCCGCTGGTTGGTGGTTACGTAGGCCCGGCTCTGCTGGTAGAGCTGCTCAGGGTTTTCAGCCCTCCAGGACGGGCCTGGGGAGACTGTGAACAGAACACAGACCAATGGTCAGATGATGGGGCTTAGAGAGGCTCAATTTATACCCACAGCAAAGCATGTGACTGGAGGGGATGGGTCACGGAAGAGGCCCTGCCTTGGGGTGGGCACCGCTCTTGTAAAAGGCACTGACCCCACAACGGACCCACCAAGTACACTGGCCCTCATTACTGTTCATAAAGCCTAAGATCAACCTCCTACTCCTGAAAAACTACCTCATAGCCCTGTAACCTTGCAAAATCCAATGCTCGTAGTTAGGAGGCCGCAAAGGTAGGAGGGTGTGGACACGTCTCCAGGGGACTCCACTTCCTAACAACAGTGTACCCAGCCGAAGGAGGTGGAGTGGGGGGAGGAGGGCAGAAAAAGCACAGCTTCAGGGTCACCCAGACACATATCCAGGTCCTCTCTACTCTGCCTGGTCCCATGTGAATGGGAACAATGCAGCCTGCCATGCTTGACTATTGTCTGCTGTCACATCCTTGAAGCCCTGGAAACTCTGGTATTTATTAATTACTTTTTTCCCACCTGCTTTAGTAATAAGGTGGGAAACCCCAGACAGCGCACACGGAGACTAAGTGTGGTTCTAGATAAGAACACAGCCCAGCCCTGGCCCATTTGACTCAGTGGTTAGAATGTCAGCCTGAGGACCCAAGAGTCAGAGATTCGATCCCCGGTCAAGGGCAAGTAGCTCAAATGCAGGTTCGATCTCCGACCTGGGACCGTGTGGGAAGCAACCAATCAATGTGTCTCTCTCACATCAATGTTCTCTCTCTCCCTTTCTCCCTCTCTCTCTCCCTCCCACTTTATTTATTTTATTTTTTTTCTTTTTTTTTTTTTTATCCTCACCCGAGAACACTTTTCCATTTTTTGTACAGATAGAATGGGAGGGAGAGAGAGGAAGGGAGAGAGAGTGAGAAACATCAATGTGAAGGGACACATCGAGTGGCTGCCACCCGCACGACCAACCAGGGCCGGGGACAAACTGCAACCTAAGTACGTGCCCTTAGCGGGAACCGAACCCGGGTCTCTCCGGACCGCAGGCCGACGCTCTAACCACTGAGCCAAACTGGCCAGGGCTTTTTTTTTTTTTTTTTTCCTCACCCGAGGACATTTTTCCATTTTTTTTGTTCAGATAGAGCGGGAGAGAGAGAGAGGAAGAGAGAGAGAGAGAAACATTGATGTGAAGGGACACATCGAGTGGCTGCCACCCGCACGACCAACCAGGGCCGGGGACAAACTGCAACCGAGGTACGTGCCCTTAGCGGGAACCCAACCCAGGTCTCTCAGTACCGCAGGCCGACGCTCCAACCGCTGCGCCAAACCGGCCAGGGCTCTCTCCCTCCCACTTTAAAAATGAATGGAAAAATATCCTCTGGTGAGGATAAAAAAAAAAAACACGGCCCAGCAGAGGAAGCACCTCTCCCTTGAGTGGCCCCAGCTCTGCTTGTGCCTATTTTCCCATTCTCCAAATGCTGGTGGACCTGTCCATCCATGATTTTTTTTTTGGTTAATCCTCACCCAAGAATATTTTTTCTATTGATTTTTAGAGGTGGAAGAGAGGGGGAGAGACACAGAGAGAGAAACATTGATGTGAGAGAGAGACATCAATTGGCTGCCTCTGGCACACTCCCTGACCAACTGGGGCAGGGGATCGAACCTACAACCCAGGTACAGGCCCTTGACTGGGACTTGAACATGAGACTCTTTGGCACACAGCCCAGTGCTCCAACCACTGAGCCACGCCAGCCAGAGCTGCCCATGATTCTTCTTTTTTATCTTCCCATTATTGATTTAAGAGAGAGATAGAAGAAGTGAGAGGGAGAGAGAGAAACATTGATGAGAGAGAACATCTATTGGCCGCCTCCTGTACCTCCCCCACTGGGGATCGGGCCCACAATCTGGGCATGTGTCCTGACCGGGAATCCAACCAGCAACCAGTTGGTGCGTGGGTTGACGCTCAACCACTGAGCCACACTGGCCGGACTGCCTATGATTCTTAAGCTGGGCTCAATAAACCTCAGATGACCCAGGCTTGAGATAAACAAGGCTTATGTTCCTGGGGCTGCCCATTCAACAGAACATTCCTGGTGATGGAAAAGTCCTCCATCTGAGCTGCCCAACATAGTAGCAGCCACAGGTGTCTTTTGGGCACTTGAAATGTGGCTACAAGGAGCAACGAAGTGAATTTTTTTACTATTACTTAATCTGAAAAAATGTTTTCCATAGCATTTCTCACCTTATATTGCCCACAAAACTCATATTTACTACCTTGATCCCAATGACCCAAGGGCCAGCACTGTCATCTCTTTTGTTCACCTCTTCACTCCAGTTCTTAGAACAGAACCCAGTGCATAATAGGTTCTTAATGAAGGTTTGTTGAATGAATAAGCAAACTTCATCAACCAGAACACAAAATTCACCCAACTACCCCAGGCCAAAGCCACTAGTCACTGGCCTGCTACCATCTTCTCCAGGAGGGACTGAGCAACTTTGTTCACAAAAGGCCAACAATATGTAGTTTTGGCTTTGTAGAGCCAGTCAGTCTGTCTCGACTACTCAAACCTGCCATTATGTTCTGAAAGCAGCCAGGTCCATACATTCACAAACAGGAATGGCTGTGCACTAACACAACTTTACAGACACACATCTGAATTTCATAACATTTCCACTTGTCAGGAAATAATACCCCCGCATGCCCAAGAATTTAAAAAACCGTAAACTCCATTCTTAGTTTCCTAGCCTTACCAGAACAGGCGGCGGGCAGGATTTGGCTTCGGACCCGGGTCCTACACGCCCCTCTGAAGACGCACCCCACTTTATTATTAGGAGAGGGGCTCAGAGAGGGTAAGGATCGTGCCACAGTCTCTGCTCTAAATTCCACTATTTCAACGGACCTGCTACTACCGGTTGGAGCTGGGGTGTGCTTCTCCTCCCCCTGCCCCCAGCACCTCGCAGCTGGGGTCTCGGAGCGGCCTCTTCCTTGCCCGTCCTGGGCTATCCTACCTTCCGGAGCCAGGGCGGTGAAGACTAGGTCCTCGGCGGGCGCCCCCCGCACGTCTTCCAGGATCTGCTCCATCGTGGGGGGCGCCGGGCGAGTGGGCAACACCATGCGCTTCTTGGCCTTCGAGCCCATCCCTGGAGGCGAGAGAACCAAGCGTTACGAGGACGTCCACCTCTTGGCCTTTGTCCGTTCCTACCGCCCAGCGATTCCTACACACTAGCCCTGCCCCGCCCCTTCAGCGTCGGGCTCCACCTCTGCCTCAGTTTCCCCGCCGAAACAGCAGCCACTGTGCTTCACCTGACCGGCAGGCGTCATAAAGCAGCTAGTTCTGCTTCCGGTTGGAGCGCGGCCCCGCCCTCCAGGCCCTGAGGCGAATTTCCGGCATCCTCTTTCTCTAGTCTGCGGCTTGTCCTGAGGTCACGCCCTCTCTTAAAGAGGCCGCGCTCTCCAGCGACCAGGTGCGATCCAAAAGGAGCTGTGGCGAGACCAGAATCAGCGCTCCCGGGCTGGGCGTGGAGTCCAATCCTGACTTCTCTCCTTGCATAACAAAACATCACAGGCCCGGTTTTCTGCAAAAAGGGTACGCAACCCCTAACCCATGTAGCTGTCCTGGGAACAAAGTTCTTGTCCACAGATGGTGGCCTGGTGCACAATGAGCGCTCAGTGAATGCTAACTGCGCCAATTACCAGCAAGGTGGCCAGGGACCAGGACACATTCCGCCACCAACTGGACAGCATCTCGCCTGCTGGATCTGGGTCAACGTCTTCCCTCTGACCTCTAAAACCCCCTCCCCACTCTGTGGGTAGTGCTGGACTGCCATCTTGGCTAGAATAGACAGGCCCAGAGCATAGGGCGATTTTTGTGTGTGTGTGTTTTTAACAGCTTTATTGAATGTAAATTATATACTATAGAAGTCCACCTGTTTAAAGTATACAATTCTGTGGTTTGCGGAACCACCACTACAGTCTAATTCTAGAACGTTTGCATCACCCCAAAGAGAAGCTCATTAGCAGTTACAACCCCCACCCCCTCCACCCCAACCCACTAATCCACTTCCTGTCTCTCTGGAATTGTCTGTTCTGGACATTTCACATAAATGGAATCTCACACTATGTGGCCTTGGGTATCCGGGTATCTGGCTTCTCTTACTGAACATCATGGTTTCAAAGTGCATCCATGTTGTATGAGTGTCAGTGCTTCACTCCTTTTCATAGTTGAGTAATATTCCAATGCATGGAGGGACCATGTGTTTATCTGTTCATCTGCTGATGGACACTTGGGTTGTTTTTGGCCATTGTGAATCCTGTTGCTGTGGACTTCAACACTTTACAGGTTTTTGTGTGGACTTCTGTTTTCAGTTTTCCTGGCTATGTACCTTCAAGTGGAATTACTGGGTCTCTTGGTAACTGTGTTTAATGCCTGTGAAACTGCCCAACTTTTTCCCAAGGGGCTGCCTCAAGTTGGTGCATTTTGGGTGCTTACTGTGTGCCAGGCAGGAAAACTGCCTCTCGTGATCCTTGCAAGCATTTGATGACACAGGTGCTATTGGTGCTGTGGCACAGGTGAGGCCACTGAGACTCCAAGAGGGAGGCCAGGTGCCCCTGGACACACAGCCTAGCCCTGCTAGGGCTGGGCTCACCCTCAGGCTTAAATCCAGAGCTAGAGACTGAGTGGGGTGAGATTCTGGGTGTGTGGGCAGGACTGGGAGGGTATCTGGTGAGGGAGATGTGGCTCTCTCTTTCCTTGCTGGCCACCTGCTTCTAGTGGGCCCATCTGGGCACCCACGTCTCCTCCTCCAGACAAATCTAGGTCAGAGGTCTATGACAGTATCTGGTTCCAAGTGCTGGGAGGCAGCAGTCTCTCGATGCCTATTTGCAAAGCCCTCAACAGAGCCTTTTTCCCTTCAAGGCTTGAAATTGGGCAACCTGAGCCCAGTGGCAGGGCAAATTCCCAGGTTCCCAGGGCTACAAAAGGGGGTAATTTCTGGGGTCTATGGACTCCTACAACAGGTGAGGTCTGCTCTTTCCAGCCTGAGTGAAGCCCTATAGTCAAGGGCACAGGGCAGCCTTCACTTCCTTGTGGAAGTCCCCTCCCCACTCTGAACATTGGGACAAACATGTCCCCACCCAATTGGCATGTGTGAGGACAGAGGGACATTTAATAGCTCATTCTGTATCCCCTTTCCTACCCCACCTCAGGATCCTCTTTCTGTTCCAGAAAGGTGGGAGACTCACTTTAAAAATGGGGATGTTGAGGCCATGGGGGATGAGAGCAAAGTACCTCTGGCCCATAATTCTCTCAGCTTCCTGAAGACCTTCAGGGAATAGAATATAATTATTGGAAGCTCAGGCCCTCTTCTGCTAGTTGTCTGTGTCAACAGGATGAAAGAGGGAATGTGGGCTGGGTCCCAGAAGCTTGGCGCTCAAAGCATGTATATCACTAGGAGGCCCCACCCATTCCCACCCCCACAGCTAGGGTCTCCGGACCCCAGACTAACCTTTCCTTTGTGGGTTGCTGGATCCCCCAGGAGCTGATGACCAGAGAAGACGATTTTCAAGCAGGGCACAAGGAAAACCTAATCATGACAGGGAGTAGGGGGCCTGCCTGGGCCCCAAAGGAGACTACAGACTTGACACCTATTCAACCTTTATTTGCAAACTCTGAGGTCACTCACCCTGGCACAGGGTGCCCAAGACTGGATAGTGTCACTGGCTCTCCCTCCACCTTCCCCCAGATTCTGGGGCAAAGAAGGGATGGTGGTCATGGTTGTGGCCTGGCCTCTGTCCCATCCCACCCCACCCCCATTCCAACTGAGTAACTAGACCTCTCTCTCTCTTTCACCTGGACCTGCCAAGTCCAGGTTGCAGGATTCCACACAGGCCACCCAATGCCTGCAGGTCTGGTGTCTAGTCAGGGCCTTCCAGGGGCAAGTTCTCACCCCGGGGCACTGATCGAAGGAGTCAGGCAGCAGTGCCCACCAGAGGGCTAAGCCAAGGCGCACATTGGCTGTCTTATTCATATGTCTCCAGGGTCCAGCCAGCAGTTGGGACTGGGTGGTGACAGGGGTGGCCTCTGGTGCTGGGCGTGGCCTACCAGAGGAGCAGGCAGCCCATGGAGAAGATGCTACAGAGGAGGGTGCTCCCAAAGGCCACAGCCAGCAGGGCCAGCACCATGGCCTGCAGAAGCCCCCATGTTGATCCAGTATGTATGGTGGGCAGCAGGTGGTGCAGTTGAGTGAGGAGCTGCCTCAGCAGATGTAGCAAAAGTGGCAGCTGGAGCACACGCAGGGTGGGTGTAACTGGGCACCCAGACCCAGTGGTCACTGTTTGCTGGGTGTGACTGAAGCACTATGATGGGCAGTAGGAGAGGCAGAGGTGGCCCAGGATGTAGGCGGGGCTGTGGCATTCTGTAAGGAGCACATGGACATGGGAGGTGAGGCTGAGGCCTACAGCCCTGGCTCACCTACCTACCCTGGGCCACACACACACACTGCCAGCAGTTTGGGCCATGCCACACTGGGCACTCACCCTGGCACAGCCCCTCTGTGTCCCGCTGCACACACGCGCTGTTGGTCACCTGGGGGCCTGGGGGCCGTGCTGTCATATCCTCGGCCGTCCCATAGAGCAGCAGTGTGTAGCGGTACAGCGTCCCTGGGCAGGGGTCACGGTGAGTGCAGGGATGAGGGGGAGAGGCTATTGGTGGCCTGATCCTGCCATTCTGGACCCCACTTTCCAGCCATTCCCACCATACCCTGGAGCTCCAGAATCAGACAGTGCCCCAGCTCCCCAGCAGCCATTATGGGATGGTAACTGGACACCTATTTCTCCTGGTTACTGGACACCTACTATGCAAGGAGACCACTGGCAGCCCCTCTTCAGTTGGGTAACTGAGGCCGGCTTAGAGTCCCCAGCTTGTGCCCGCCTCTCACCTGTGTTGAAATAGTAGCCCTTATTTTGCAGGCCCAGGGTCCACAAACCCTGTGGGTCCTCATCCCAGAAGTGGGTGGACATAAAGATCCAGTTGTTGTAGCCTTGGCCGCTGATGTCAAAGGGTCTGGGACAGACAGGTAGGGGTGTGGCAAAAGGGGGCCTTCAGAACCACAGTCATGAAGGGGCCACTGAACCACAGCAAGTGTCTGACTGCAATGCCAAATGCTGGCTGCAGGGTTGATCCCCGTGAGACTGATCCCCCCAGAGTAGGCCATGCCTACCCCACAGTGCATTTGCCCCTCCCTGTGTGGACCCATAGGGCCTGGTCCCCTGACCCTATACCTAATGGCCACGAGTGTGGAGCGGGTGCCCATGGGACTGGTGAGTGAGATCTCCAGGTCCCCACGGCGGCTGTAGGACAGTGACAGCCGCACCTGCACATGCTCCAGTGAGCGGATGTAGTTGGCACGGCCAGCACAGGCTGACATTTTCTTTCTCACGTGCATCAGCGGCAGGATGGGGCTATGGGTGGCATGGGCCATCAGGGCCCCTCCTGCTGGCCTGCTGGGGGGATGGGCGGCCAGCAGGCAGGGTCTGGGATCAGATCATGGGGCCCACCTCCAGGATTTACTGAGGCCTCAGGGCCTGCCTCCCAAGTATCTGCCCCCTGGGGGTTAATGACAGGTGTGGGAAAGGGCTGGAGAGGTGGCAAGTGTTAGGGAAGGAATGGGGAGGTGGCAGGTGTGCACAGTGGCTATGACTGAAGAGGGTGCTCACGTGGGGGTGTGGAGGACTCGAATGGCGCATTTCTTCTGGGGCTGTGTGGGCAGCCACATGCGAGCCAAGTCTACCAGCAGCCCAGCATCCAGCAGCCCATAGCCATAGTGGTGGCTCACTGCATAGACAGGGGCCATCACTCACTCTGTGGGCATGGTGTCCCCACCCCCACCTGGCCATGCAATACCTTGGCGCCCCACACCATTGGTCCTCCAGTCCTCAGCCTGAAGATGTGCCTGCCTGGATGCACGAACCACCAAGTGCTGCATATCCCTCCATGTCAAAAACGGGCTAGGGGCAGGTGAGGGGGTAAGCTGGGGCCACAGCTGGGGGGCCAGGGTGGTAGGTAGGGTCCCCACTGTCACCTACTTGGCCTCCAGAGCCAGAGCGATTATGCCTGCAGCCAGTGGGGCAGAGGCCGAGGTGCCTGTGTGTTTGTCAGTGCACTGGTGGTGCAGGTCCGTGGTGACCTGGGGGCAGAGATGGGGACTCAGGGGCTGGTGTACATGAAAACTCAGCCCTTATTCCCAGGGAACCAGGGACTCAAAAAGGCACCACAGAACATTACACCAGGTGAGAGGCCTGAGCATTGCCCAGGTCCATACCCCAGAAATACAGGCTGGGGGTGTGTGAAGGTGCAACAGTGGGATGGGGCCTGGGACCCATGTCTGTGTTCCAGCACTGCAGAAGCAATCCCTGAGAGGAGGGAAGATGGGGGGACAGGAGGGAAGTGGGGACACAGGAAGGAAGGTTGGGGCACAGGCGAAAAGGTGGGGACTGGAAGGTAGAGAATAGGAGTGAAAAGGGGGTAGGGTAGACTACAGGGAAGTTGGGGGGACAAGAGGGAGTTGGGGGGACCACGCTGGGCCAGGCAGGGTGAGCAATGATGGCAGGGTCCACTCACAATTTGGGGCTCGGTGATAATGCCACTGCTGTAGGTGGTGGTGAGGGTGGAGGCACAGGCCTCACTATACCAAGGTACATGACCCTGCTGGGTGGTACTGCCCACAGAGAGTGTATGGATGCTATTGGTGTAGCCATCACAGTTGCAGTTGTCATAATGCAGCCCACCATTACCAGATGCCCAGATGAAGAGCGTACCTAGCCCACCTCGGCCCTGCAGATGGGGACAGGACAGGGAATGGGGTATCAGCCTTTCACGTGGGCACAAGCTCTCCAAAGCCCTAGGCCTTGCTCACCTTGGTCACGCCACGCCTGAAAGCCTCTTGGGTGAGGATGCCTGGACCATCCACAGTTCGGCCATCGTCTTCAGGGCCCCAGCTGGCACTATAGATGTGGATGTGCTGTGGCTGCAGGCTCAGTGACTGGGCCTCAATGACATCAGTGATGGTACCATCCAGCATGCGCACGCCTGCACAGGCAGCTGTTGGTCCTCTGCAGAGAGCCCTGCTGGTGCCCCCACCCATCCATGCCAGCTCCTAATACCTAGCCAGACCCTCTTTCTGCTCCTGGGGATTGGGGGTATCTTATGCAGAGCTCAACTCTTTATACCCTGAGTCTGGGGCCCCCCACATTGCTGAGCGATGAAGGCATAGGCACCAAGAAGCTTCCTCCCATGGTTGATCTGCCAATTCTCCCTGGTGTTACCAGCCACCCAGTACCACCTCATCCAGCCTGTCCCTGGCGGACAGGAGTACCTCCTATTCGGGCATTGTAGGCAACGCCTGCACCGCAGAACCTGTTGTTAGCTATGGCTGCCACTTCCCCAGCACATCGGGTCCCGTGCCTGGTGTCAAGGCAGAGAGGAGTGCCCGTCACAGCTCACCTGGCCCCCACAGAGCACAAGGGCTATCCCCAGGCCCCATGGGATTCTGGGCTCACCGGTTCTCATCACTGGGAGTGTATCGTGGTTGGGGGTCCGGGTCATAGTCGTTAAAGTCATAGCTGGCCAGGGGGTCCTGGAGGTGAGGTGGGGATATAAGGGGGTTGGAGCAGGCTGTAGGATGGGGAATGGGGGGCAGCCCCTGCCCCAGTCTAACGTGGCTCACATAGTTGGCCAAGAGGTCTGGGTGGTCTTTCTCAATGCCATCATCCAGGACAGAGACCACAATACCCTGGCCCGACAGCCCCTGGCTCCAGACTTGCAGGATGTTTAGGTCCGGCTGCACCTTGTTGTTCTGTGCCAGGTGGGGGCTAGAGTCAGTAGGACTTCAGCGTGGCCTAGCCCGACCACCTGGCCCAACCCACTCACCATGTACCACTGCTTGGAGAACCAGGGGTCCATGGGCACCACTAAGGAGCGCTTCACGCGCCACCGCAGAGTCTGCTGCTCAAACCACTGAACCTGAGGGGGACATACACCAAAGGAGGGGGCTGGATCAACGGGGCTAGCCTACCCTCTTCCCACCTTTCCTGCACTTTAGAGGGCTGTATTCCACAGACCAAGACCTGCTCCTCTAAGCCCTTCCCACCAACTTTTGGTCAAAGGACTGAAGCCTGTGTCTAGAGTCTGCCTAGACCTCTTCCCAGGGTCCACCAAGGGGCAACTGTATGTGAAGCTGTGGTTGAGTAGAATATGTGTCTGGGTTGTCCACTGCTTGTCCTGGGGCCCTTGTGATGTAGAATGAGGACTGGGACCCTGTGTTTTCTGGGGCTGATCTTCAGGGTCCTCCAGGGCTCTGCCTTCAGAGGGGGGCCAAGGCACTTGGAGCGCCCATTCCCAGGGCCCACAGATAACTGGCCACTGCCTAAGGTGGCTGAGGGTCTTGGGGTCCCAACTCTGCCTCTTCCCCCATTCCTGTTCTAGATCCTTCTGCCCAAGACCTGCTCATCTTCCCCCTGCAGTAGCCACTGCTCTCTACCAACCCCTGGTCCTCTAGCTGTCCCCCCACCCCCTCCCCACAACCAACTCTCAGCACACAGCAGCAGTACTCTGTTGAAACCCTCTCACAGCTCCCCACTGCCCTCTCCAGGGTCCACAAGGTCCTGCTTATCTGGTCCTCATCAGCCTCCTTCTGCTGCTGCCCAGTGGCTGCCTCACTCTGGGCCTTTGCACATGTTGTTCTGCCTGCCCAGGCTGCTCTTCCTTAGACCTTTGTTCTTCCTCTTCCTTGTTGATCTCCCTACCCCTCTCCCCGAAAACCATCTCATGTCCCTCTACCCTTATCTCAGCAATCAGGGCCATTGTCTCCCCATTTGCTCTGCTCCAGTCTTGGGAGCTGGTCCTGATTTCTCTTCTTCTGTCCCACGCATCTGATCCATTGGCAAGCCCTGGCTTCTCTCTTGCAAACCACATCTCCAACCAACCAGTTCTTTCTGTTGCCCATGCTCCAGGCAGGTTTAGAACAGTCAGGCTTCTTGCCTCCTTGACAACCAGCCCCCCAGCCCAGTTCATACCCCTTTGTGGCTCCCACGGACTTGCCAGAGTCAGCCTCAAATCCTTAGCTTGGCATCTAAGACCCTTTCCCTGTCATCTCTCTGAGCATCTGGAGATGGGGTTCTGATCCCAATTCAGCCACAGTCTCATTGGGTGACTTCAAATAGGATTCCTCCTCTTAGAACTGTTTCCTTCATCACAAAATGGGCTAATTCCCGTCCCTCCATCCCATGAGCTAGAATGTTAACTGCCTCTCTTTATGGAGTACCTAGGAACCTTAATCTTTCAGGTTGAGATAGAGGAGGGAAGGGGAGTTGACAAGAAATGCTGATAGCTGTGGCTGGTTTTGCTCAGTGGTTAGAGCGTTGGACTGTGTTCCAGACAGATCCGGGTTCGGTTCCCGCTAAGGGCGCGTACCTCGGTTGCAGTTTGTTCCCAGCCCTGGTCGGTCGTGCGGGTGGCAGCCACTCGATGTGTCCCTTTCACATCGATGTTTCTCTCTCTCTCTCCCTCCTACTCTATCTGAACGGAAAAATGTCCTCAGGTGAGGATAAAAAAAAAGAAATGCTGATAGTGTGCTTGCCCTGGGATGTGCACCACGCACGCATGATCTGTTGCTCCCCACAGATCTTCCCTATCTGGGTCCCCAGTGTATAGACTGGAGGGCCAGGTGGAAACCAAGACTCTGAGAGAGCAGGTGAGTTGCCAAAGGTCACAGCCATTCATAACAATCACAAGAAAAACTGGAGGTGTTGAGACCCTGAGGAGGCAGCCTCAAGGCCAAGGCTCACCTTGGGGTCTTTCTTCAGGCGCAGGCGGTGGCCCCAGTTCGGGGTCAGGGACTGCTGGGCCAAGCCTCGGTGCCGCAGGTGAAAGTACTGCCCATCAGGGAAGATCTGGGAATGTGGAGGAGCAGTCGCATCCCTGAGACTCGGCTTCCCTGATGGAGCCTTCACAGGGCAGGGGTCAGCCCCCTTGTTTGCATCGTTTCCCCACCAGGTGCCTCTGGAGGGGGACCTTGAATCTGAAGTTGGTCGAGGCAGGGGTTGGTTGGGGGTTCTTGATAATTTAGAGAACCTGAGAGACACCCTCCGTCTGTCGGGCCTAGGGTCTTAGGTTGTCCAATCCCCGCCCCCTCCCATCTATCCGGGTCCCACCCACCTGCCCCATGTTGACGAAGCCGAATTTGCGCGCCAGGCGATCGGCCTCCTGGTAACCCTCGGACACCTGCACGGCCCAGCTGCTTACATAGATGGGGGCCCGGGCCGAGGCCAACCCCACAGACAGGTGGCAAACGAGGGCCAGGCCCAGTGACAATGCCAGGCGCACCCAGAGCGCACTCCGGGTGGGCCGCATGGCGGCGGGGGCGGGGCCGGGGCCGGGCCTCCAAAAGCCCCTCCCCCTGTCTAAACCGCTGTGTTGGTCTAAGCGCCCGCCCCGCCCCTGGCGCCATAGCAACCCCTGAAAGGCTTCGACTCCCAGAGATCCTTGCGGCTCCCCTTTGTGGGGCACGAAGTCCTGACAGAAATGGGAAGGTGGGGAAGGTGGACACACGCAGACCCAAACCCTCTGGAACCTCAGTCTCCTTTTTTGTACAATGACTTAATTCTTCTGACCCAGAGGAATGAGTTCACTGCTGTTGACCCCGCCCTTTTATTTAGCCCCACCTCTTCCTACACGCCCTTCCCTCTCGAGCCCTGCCTCCTCTCCTGTCCAACCAGATTTGTTCTTTTTTTTTCCTTTATTGATTTGACAGAGAGAGGAAATTAAAGGGGGAGAGAGAGAAACATCGATGAGAGAGAACATCGACTGGCCGTCTCCTGCCTGCCTGCCCCCCACTGGGGATCGAGCACACAGCCTGGGCATGTGTCCTGACCGGGAATCGAACCGGCGACCTGTTGGTGCATGGGTCAATGCTAAACCGCTGAGCCACACCCTCCGGACCAGATTTGTACTTTAGAGTGAGTTCCACCTCCTCGATTTAGCTCCTCCCCGTACCCGCCCTTCAGATTCCGTCCCGCCTTCTTTACAATATGCCCCGCCCCATCCTCTGTTCTTGTCAATGAATCTCTTCCCGTTTCTCCAATCAACTCTGGTTTTTCTCCGGCCCCTCCCACCAGCTCCGCCTACCATAGTACTCTCCCCCCCCCAATTTACACAACAGCTCAGCCAATAATCCCCGGCCTAGACCCCGCCCCTCCAATCAGCTACGTCCAGCTCCCTCTTGGCCAATCGGTGCCCTCGGCCACCACGCCCCGCTCTCTTCCTTCCAAGTCGCGGCTGCGGTGGCCACGGCCTGCCAGAGGGCAATGCGGCGGGGGAGACGGGGCAGGCCCCACCTCCTTTGTCCGCCCTGCCCTCCCATTGGCCGGTGCGGGGGGCAGGAGGCGGGGACCAGCCAGGAGGCAGAAACCAACCCGGGAGCCGAGCGGAGCGGCTTGCTCCGCGGGAAGGCGGCACGCGGGCAACGGGGCCGGTGCGCGGTGCCGAAGTCGAGCTCGGGCTGCCAGCCCCGGGCCCGCCGGTGCCATGGACGGCCTGCGCCAGCGCTTCGAGCGGTTTCTGGAACAGAGGAACTTGGCCACCGAAGCACTAAGGGCACTCGAAGCCAAGACCGGTGTCGACAAGCGGTACTGGGCTGCGGGTGAGCTGTCCTGGGCGCTCGGGGCTGTCGCCCCATTTCACCAACCCGCACACTGATGTCCTGGGGCACCTGGGTCTCGGTCCTGCCCTCCTCCGGCCTGCCCCAGCTGCGAGGTCTGGACCTTATGAGGGGGACGCGCCCCACTGTTCAGCGGGGAGACCGAGATCCTGGCTGGGATGGGGTCGTGGACTGCGACATCGGGTGAGCTCGCAGCCCCTCCCTTGCACTCGCCGTGCCACCTCGGGCGAGCGCTACCCCCTTTCTCGGCCCCTGCAGCACCCTCACTCTGGCCCACGGGTCTGGCCCTCTCCCTTGGGGCGCTGGGTGCTGGCCAGGCCAAAGTCCGGTTCTTCCAGTTGCCCTGCTGGCCCCAGGAGTAGGGAGGGGAGGAGGGGGCAGATAGGCGCCAGTGCCCTGAGTGTCTCTTCACCCGCTTCCCAGATGACCCCCAGCCTGAAAGCAAGTGTTGAGATCTTGTATTTTTAGAAGGGATAATCCCTGCCAAGGGGGAGGGTCACTCCCACCTCCTCTCCCATTGTTTTCCTGCTGGTAACCCCCTCTTGGCCTGCCTTCTTCTCTCATTGATCAGTGGCTTTGGCCTACTGTGCATGAATAGTTGAGCTTGAGTTGGGTTGTTTGACAGCTTTAGTAGGGTTGGAGAACAGTTGGATGGGAGCCCAGGAAGAAAGGGCTCAAGCCACCTCTGACTATAACTTCCATTCTAGTCTTTTCTCTTTCTTTCCTCCTCAATGACCTGGGGTGGCCCCTGCCACTCTCAGAAACTGTCTAGTAAGCCATTAAATGCCTTCTTTACCTCATTTGCAGTGTTCCAGGCCCACCCACTCTGCCACCACCTCTTCTAGGAAGACCCCCTGGAATGAATCACAAGGATACTAGGGGGGGGGGGGGAGTTCTGGGTGAAGACAGTGCCAGGTGTTTTGAGTGCCTTCTATGTGCAGATGCTGGGAGTCCACTTTCCTTCCATTTCCCCACCAACTGGAAGATCCTCATGACAGAGAGCCTAAGGAGAGTCTGAAATCTGTTTCCCCAGGTTCCTGGTGCCCAACTCATGTCTGCTCAGCCAGGGACCTGCCCCTGGGAGCAAGCCATTGACCTCCTGCCTGGCTTTCCACATCCTGGTCCCAGTGATTGGGGAATTTAGGTCATAGAGCACTGGGGAGGGGCCCACTGGGAAGGGCTTGCTAGGGAGGCTGGTAGTTACTGGGAGGAAACTAAGACCCAGAAATCTAGGGGTTGTGTAGAGGATGCCCCTGCCACTTGCTGTGTCTGAAGTATCTACCCACCCCATCTGTTGTTGATCTCAGGCTGTGTAACACCCCCACCCCCACAACCCATATCCAAGGTCATCCTCCTATTGCTGAGGCTGCAGGAATAGGGATTGAGGAGAGGATTGCCCTAGGAGAGCCACTGCTACCTGATTAGTGATTTCTGGGGAAGAAGTAACATTCCCCAAACCCCTTGCCCAGATATGGGAACCCTTGGGCTCCACTTGCTCCAGATGGCCAAATCCCCTACCCCAGATAATAGGAGGAAACCCAGAGGAGCCAGCTGGGGAGGCCCTCCTCCACTCTTGATCCCAGACTCTGGGATAAAAACTACTGTAGGTGGAGGGAAAGGTGTGGGTGATTGCCCTTTGGTCCACAAGTGGCTTTTATCTCTCTCTGCAGATAATAGCCTCTGGGGAAGGAAGTGGGAGGCTGTAAATGCTCCTGACAAGCCTCTCTCCCACTTTCGTCTAGTTCTTGCTATTGCATGAGGCAGAACAGAGAAGTACACAAGAAGCACTTAAACGTGACAGTTATCATAATTGTTTTCAGAATAGCTAATGCTTCTGGCTCCCCATATCCCCACAATATTCTCTGAGCCTCTTTGTTGGGAGTGTTTTTGTGACGAGAAGTCCCTCAGTAATGTATGGAAAGGATGAATCCTCTCTGTTGAGCCTATTTAGCTAACTCCACTACAACCCTAGGAGGCAGGGCCACTATCACCCCATTGACAGATGGTGAAACTGAGTCTCCAAGCAGAGAGAGACTTTCTCAGTGTCACATGGTGAGTGAGTGGAAGAGCAGAGGGCTCTCCAAGGTCTGAAAGATTCTATACTTCCCTTTGCTCCTTCCACTAAGATAGGGGGTCTCGAATGGGGCCATGCTGTCCCCATTAGGACATTAGGTAGTATCTGGGGACATATGTGGTATGACTAGGGGTGCTCCTGGCATTGAGTGGGTGGGTACCAGGGAAGCTGTTCAACACCCCACAGTGCCCAGGGCTGCTCCCCAAAGAGGATGACCTGACGAGGATGGCAGCCGAGACTGAGAAACCCTTCAGTAAGATGAAATTTTATCCTCACCCGAGGACTGTTTTTTTTTTTTTTTTTTGCATTTATCTTCAGATAGGGAGAGAGGGAGGGAAGGAGAGAGAAATATCGATGTGAGAGACACATCGAGTGGTTGCCACCCACACGACCCCAACCAGGGCCGGGGACAAACTGCAACCGAGGTATGTGCCCGTAGCGGGAACCGAACCCCGGACTCTCCGGTCTGCGGGCCCACGCTCTAACCGCTGAGCAAAACTAGCCAGGGCAGTAAGATGAAATTTTAAACCGCTGTTGCCTTTGTCTGCTCAACAGCAATCACATCTTAATGACAGAATGGCCTCAATTTTAGGTGTTTCTCCCATTACTTATATTCATATGCTGGTCTCGTGCCCAGCCCCTCCTGGTTATTTATAATTACAGATGATTACTTATTCAGCAAATGTTTATTGGGCAGCTACTCTACCCACCATGGCCGAGGACCCTGCCTGCCTTTGGGGAGCTCACAGTACCATACGGGAGTCAGACATGTTAACTAATTACAGACACAAGACTCAGGATTCAGAGCCATGGTGGGGGTCACCTAGATGCTATGTGAAGACTAGCACATCCTGGAGGGATCACCAAGGCTTGTGGGAGGAATGACAACACCGTGGGGTGCATCTGCCAGGCCAAGAGGAGGCTAGAGGCCTACAGGCTGGGCATGAAGTGAGCCAGACCCCCACCCATGCCCTCTTTTCTGCAGGAGTCACCACTCTGCTAAGCCTGTATCTTCTGTTCGGTTACGGGGCATCTCTACTGTGCAATCTCATCGGCTTTGTGTACCCCGCATATGCTTCGTGAGTGCCCACAGGCTGTCCCGGTGGGGGGCATCCAGGGGCTCTGGGCAGCCTCTGATCCTGCCATACCTCCCCCCAGAATCAAAGCTATCGAGAGCCCAAGCAAGGAGGACGACACTGTGTGGCTCACCTACTGGGTGGTATACAGCCTATTCGGGCTTGCCGAGTTCTTCAGCGATCTACTCCTGTCCTGGTTCCCTTTCTACTACGCGGGCAAGGTGGGCACCACTGAAACACACAGGATGGGGGCTTCTGGGAGCAGGCAGGCAACCAGAGATTGAGGATCTGAGGGGCTTGCCCTGCTGCCTGCTGGGGTGTCAGGGGGAGACTTAGCCCCTTCCCTGCGGAAACAGGCCCAGCCAGGGGTGGTGCCTGATGGGGACAGCCCAAGCCTATCCAAAAGGGTGTCTGATGGGGAGCAGTCAGACCAATTCTAAGGGGGGTCTGATGGGAGTGGCCTAGGTCCACACAGTCCAGTGTCTGACAGAAGAGGTCCAACCCCTCCTCCTGGGGCACAGATCTAATCGGGGGGCTGAGTGTAATTGCTGCCCATGCCTGCAGTGCGCCTTCCTGTTGTTCTGCATGATTCCCGGGCCATGGAATGGGGCTCACATGTTGTATCACCGCATCATACGTCCGCTGTTTCTAAAGCATCACCAGGCCGTGGACAGCGTCGTGAGAGACCTCAGCGGGCGAGCCCTGGACGTGGCAGCAGGAATAACCCGGGAAGGTATGTGCTCCTGGGCATGGGGTGTCTTTCTGTTCCAGTCTTTCAGCCTACCAGTCCCCGCTCACTTTCACTCCTGCCTCCTCTCTTCCTGACTCTGACTGGCCTCCATCTGGCATCTTAGCCGTTGGCATCAGGCACTCTACCTTCTCTCACTGTCCGCCTCTCTCTCCTATGCTTTCGGGAACCAGTCCTGCAGACCCTGGCCCGCAGCCGGGCTCTTGTCACCCCAGCGGCTGTGGTGGTGGGTTCCCCACTGCTCTCGGAGCCAACTATAGGTAACCCCCACCCCTTGGAAGTAGGGTCTATATGTATATGCATGCATTCATGCATATGTGCATGTGTGTGTGCATTTATGTGAGTGCATGTGCATGTATATATTAGAGTGGGTTGGTTTGTGTATTGTGTGAGTTCATTTATGTGTATGATTATGTGCATGTGTACCTGCATGTATGTGAGTACGTGCAGATGACTCTGTCCTTGCCAGGGATGGCCACTGACCCTACCCTGACCTCCAGCAGCCTCCGTCCCACTGTGCAGCTGAGCACAGCCCCAGTACCCAAGAGCTCAGCCAGACCTACCTCAACACCATGGCCCTCTCTCTACAGCCAAAGTAAGCGTGACCCAGCTCCAGAAGAACAAGTGAAGCTCCAGCCGGCAGACCAGCCGGCCAGCCAGCTAAAAGACACATTGTATCCCAAGTCCTCCACAAATTTCTCAACTGAGTCCCCAGGACAGACCCCCTCAGCCCCAAGCATGCCAGCCCCTGGGAGCCCCTCACGTACCACCTTGAACCAGTCCCAGCCTCATTCCCGGGCCACAGGTTCTGCCAATGGCTCCAAGCTGCCTGGCAAGTCCCAGTCCCAGCCTTGGTCAAGAGCCAATTCCTCCAGCCAGCCCCAGGCCGCTGGCCAGCAGCATCCACGGCCATCCGTCACTTCCTTGGACCCCTCCCATCCAATCCACCAGTCCTCAAGCTCAGGTCCGGTGCAGCATCCCAGCACCTCCTCTAGCCAGGGTCCCCCCACTATGCCATCCCCGAGTGGTACTACCATCCCCATGCAGCCCCCCAACAAGACCCCTAATGGACCAGTGGAGTTGGCTTCCAAGGCCTCCAAGTCCAGCAAACAGCAGAAGGGGTCCCCAACGCAACCCCCAACCAGTACCTCGGTCCCTGAGCTGCCTGTCTCCTGCCTTTCTGAGTCCCCTCTGGAGTCTACCTCAGAGTCCACCACTGAAGTCACCTGCAGCTGGTCTCACCACCACCCCTGGCTCCGATACCTGCAACACTGCTGGCGGCTGAAACATCTGGCCTGCTAGGAGAGGGCTCAATAAAGCACATCTGGCTGAGCCTTCTCTTACCATCTGTCCTGGATAGGGAGAGGACAAGGGGGGGGTCTTTGTGGGAACCATTCCATCTAATCAGGAGAGGATACTGTGCAGCCCCACTTTAGAGTTAAGAAACTAAGGCCCAGTCCTGGCCGGTCTGGTTAGAACGTCGGCCTTCGGTCCGAGAGATTCAGGTTCGGTTCCTGCTAAGGGCACGCACCTCAGTTGCAGTTTGTCCCTGGCCCTGGTTGGGTCGTGCGGGTGGCAGCCATTTGATGTGTTCCTTTCACTTTGATGTTTCTCTCTCTCTTCCTCTCTTTCCCTTCCAGTCTATCTGAACAAAAAAATGGAAAAATGTCCTCAGGTGAGGATAAAAAAAAAGAAAGAAACTAAGGCCCAGAATTGTGGTCTCACCAAGTGACTGAGATGAACTGAAGATGAGAATTCGAGTACAATTTTTTTTTTGAAAGGTGATCCCAGGAACCTTTAGTAGGGAGCAGGTAGGGGAAGGAGCCAAAAAAGTGGGTGTGGCCAGGCCTAGAGCCTATGTCCAATTCACACCTGAGACCTTCTACCCAGGTATTGTGGGAGCCAGGGACTATGCACTGGGGGAACAGTGGCCATTCATTCCAACTAGCATCTCTGCAGGCAGCAAAAAGGCATGGGGCTGGCAATAGTCAGACTGCAATTCATGGAAATTGGGAGAGGGGAGTTGGACACACACTGACGTGGCCTCCTGTACTTGGGTTTCCTTTGTGATCATAAAACCAGGCATGGATATAGATACAAAAAAAAAGCCCAAAGAATAGCAAATCCAATCCAATAATATGTAAAATATAGAATGCTCCCTGTGCAACTACAGATCTCTGGAGGCAGATCCTGAGCTGGAAGCTGGGGGTCGGGGTGGAAGTGGAGCTGAACAAGGAAGTGGTCTCAATGGGGGCAGGGGTACCTGGAGCTTGAACTGCACCTGCAATGAACTCCACCTTGAGCCTAGGGGCCAGGTTTTTACCCTGGGGAGGGGGCTGTAACCCCAAGGCATCTACAGTCACAGCTGGGGAGGACCTGGGGCCCACAGAATCCATAAGTCCACCTCTTTTCACCACTCAGCTCCTGCCACTCAAACTCTGCTTCTCCATGATTCTAGTGGTCCACAACTACTTGTGCAAACACAGTAGAAGGATTAGTAGGATGAACCACAAACCCTGACACTGCAGGTGCTCCCAAGGCTATAATTCAGTGGTTCTCAACTGGGGCAATTTTGTCTCAGAGGTGTGGGCAATGTCTGGAGACACTCAATTTTTGCCCAAACACATCAGCCAAGTCTTTCAATCCTTGAACATGCCATGCCCTTCACTCCTTAGCCAGCCTTGCTTGTTCTCAGCTGCTGGTGGCTCTTGGCCAGTGTTCCCAAAATAAAGGAGGCAGCCCTGTGTCCTCATCCTTGAGAATTCTAAAAAGGGAAGAGGAAGTGCTGAGTGCTGCTGCTGAGCAGTGGGTTCGGATCATCACATCACAAAGATATTGATACTGTATTCTAGGCCCTGCTCCAGGATCCAAGGTTACAGTATTGATCCAGAGAGATAAAAAAAAAAAAAAAAAAAAAAATACCATTCCTGGGAGTTTGGGGAGACAACAATTGGCATGATAAATGTATAACATGTCAGAGGGAGCCCTGGCCTGTGTAGCTCAGTTGGTTGGTGTCGTCCTGTGCATCTAAGGGTGGTGGATTTGATTCCTGATCAGGGCACATACCCAGGTTACAGGTTCAATTCCCAGTTGGGGAGCATATGGGAGACAACTGGTCAATGATTCTTACACCGATGTTTCTCTCTTTGTCTCTAAAATCAATAAAATGAAAAAAGATCTAACTTGAAAAAAAACCCAGCCCTGGCCGGTTTGGCTTAATGGTTAGAGCATCGGCCTGCGGTCCAGAGAGACCCAGGTTCAGTTCCTGCTAAGGGCATATACCTCGGTTGCAGTTTGTCCCCGGCCCTGGTTGGTCGAGTGGGTGGCAGCCACTCGATGTGTCCCTTTCACATCGATGTTTCTCTCTCTCTCTCTTCCTCTCTCCCCTCCCACTCTATTTGAACAACAACAACAACAAAAAAAAAGGGGAAATGTCCTCGGGTGAGGATTAAAAAAAAAAAAAAGATACTGACTTTTGAGTAGAGACATGAAGATGAAGGCATGAATTGTGAAAATCAAGATAGGGGTGGTCCAGGCAGAGAGAAGAACCTGTACAAAGGACCCAAGGCAGGCCTGGGCCTGGGAGGGTATAGGAAGAGCAGAGAGGCCTGTGTGGCTGGAGCTGAGTGAGCGAGGAGGAGAGAGGTGAGTCTAAGGTGTGGACCATAAAGGTACCTAAAGGCAGGGTGAGGACTGGCTTTTACTTGGGGACATAAGATTTGTCAAGAGGGAAGAAGGGACAGATCAAGAGTAATTATTAATGAACCCTGATCCTGCTAAGAGGTCTATAGGGTGTTGGGGATAGGGATCTCAGAATCTGCTTATCACTGGCCCAGCTGTTTAAAGAATGTGGTATGACTGTGTTCTGGGGGAGGAGATGGCAGTGCTGAGTTTGCTCTGCACCTGGCATTCTCCACACCCTACCATCCCAAGGGGCAGTGAAACAGGCACTGAGAGGCTGTCCCTGGCCCCCACCCTGGTCAGCTCACCAGGGAGTACAGGTGGAAAGGACACACACCTGTCTCCCCAGGTGGAAACAGTAACCTTTAGCCCCTCAGACTTGTTTTGTTTTTAAACACACAGAAAAGTGTAACCGGTGACTCAGAGCTAATAAGGCAACGGGGCAGCTAATAAGCCCCCCTCCCCCAGTCACTTCCCACCCCCAATGGTGTCTTCTATACTTTCCTGTCTGACTCAGAGCTGTGTCTGTCAGACTCACCACCACTGTGGGAATTATCAGTACTTTGCTCATTTTCATTGGTGAATAGCATTTTATTCCATGGGTAGGCCAGAGTTTATTTGTCCCATTCCACTGTTGATGGGCATTTGAATAGTTTCCCATTTTGGATTATTGTGACTAAAGCTGCTAGGAACATTCTAGAACTGGACTTTGGTGAGCACAGCTCTCATTTCTCTGGGGCATATACCTGTCAGAGATTTGTGCAGGGCGAGCCTGAGTCTCCTGGGGTGACCATAACAAATAACCACACACTGGGGGGCTTAAAACAACAAAGCTTTAGTCTCTAACATTCTGGAGGCCAGAAGTCAGTGTTACAGGTGCACTCCCTCCTGAGACTCTAGGGAAGAGTTCTTTTTGCCTGTTCTAGCTTCTGGGGGCTCCAGCCTCTCTTGACTTGTGGCTTCATCATCCCAGTCTTTGTCTCCATTGTCACATGGTCTGCCTCTCCTCTGTATGTTCCTTTTTTTATTTTTATTGATTTTTAGAGAGAGAGGAAGGGAGAGATAGATGGAAACATCAAATAAGAGAGAAACAGTGCTCAGCTGCCTCCTGCACAGTCCTACTGGGGATCAAGCCTAAAACCTGGGCACATGCTCTGACTGGGAATTGAATCAGTGACCTCTTGGTGCACAGGTCAACACTCAACCACTGAGCCATATCGGCCAGGTTCCTCTGTGTGTCCCCTGTGAGGATACTTGTCATTGGATTTAGTGCCCACCGAGATAATCCAGAATGAACTTGAGATTCTTAATTATATCTGCAAAGATCCTTTTTTCAAATAAGGTCCCAATCACAGATTCTGGGGGTTGGGACGTGGACATATCTAACTTACTAATGTGATTTGCATTAATTTATAGCAGATATGGCCAAACTGTTTTCCAAAGTGGTTCTGCCAACCTCATTTGTACTCCCACATCTAACCCTGAGGGCTGTCAGACAGTCCAGGACTTTCCACAGCTTTTTGAGTGGACATGTGTCCTCCCATGGGTCAGCCATCTGGTACATGGTCAGTGAGAGGACAGATGACAGAGTGGTCCTCTTTGCAGATAATTAGAAACGAAAAACATGACTGACTCCCAGAGCTGGCATTCAGAAATATTGTTGAAAACAATCTTTTATGGAGCTAATAAAATAATTGCAATTACTGTTGTTTTACTAATATGGATGCAAGTTTAAAACATGCCTGTTTTAATTCTTTATCTGTTAATAAACATTGCCATCTGTGGGAAGTCAATTTGGAGAATTCCCAGCTATAGACAAGCAAGGATGCACCATGTGTGCTTCCTTCAAGAGGAAGTCCCTGCTTGTATCCATTTGCAGTCACTTTGGGCAATGTGTGTGTCTCTAACCCAGATGGGCACTGAGTATCCCTGCAGGGAAACAGTAACTATAAAAAAAGGGCTGGGGACTATAAAGAGGAAAAAAAACCAGAAAAATTCACTTTGTTTCAGTCATTCTATGTAACACCCTGGAGTTATTAGTGTTTCAGTGTAAAACAGCAAAACAGCTAATACTTTTGCTTGGCAAATACAAATGGTAGTGGCACCCTGACCATCACATTGCTGAATTTGAACATCTTTAGAACTGCAATGTTTTCTTCTCTCTTTAAATGGTTAGATTGTTTTAAAGCTAAAGAGCAAATCAAAACAATATGATGTTTACTGAGAGTGTTACAAGATCATTACAGGAGGAAATGTGAAGGGGCTAGAGAAGTCACCGCTCAGGTGGCCACAGGCCATCCTGCCTGCCAGAGGGGACTCTGTGCTGGCCCCTTACCAGAGCAAGCACCTCTCTTCAGTCAGTCCAGATGATTAGGGATTAGAAACTCTGGGGCTGAGAAAGCCTGAGACCCTCATTCCCAGACATATTCCCACACCACAGAGAGGCAGAGAGGACAACCTTGGGCTAAGGATGGGAGGAATGGAGCCGTAGGTTGGTGCTGGTGTAAGGAGGCCGGTGGGTGGGGAGTGGCTTTCCTGCGGAAGGCAATGCAGGTGAGAGAAGTGGGTGTTGAGGAGGAGGTACATAAGCATAGGGACCTTCAGGGCTGCCGATAACCAGGTGCCTTGACTACCTTTCCCCCATCCTGCCACCAGGGTGCGCCCAGGCCCCACACCTCTCTCCAGAACTGTACCCATTTTGCCCTAGAGAGTTGGGGCTCTGAGGATTCTCCAGTTTCAGCCCTCATTGCAGATGACAGAGTCAGACCTGGGACAGCCCAGGTACTGCTGGGCCCCTGGCATACAGTAGGTGCTCAATAAGTACCCACTGGAGGAATGTATGCGTGAACTGAAGGGCTAGGGAAAGAATCCAGAAGAGTATGATTCCCGAGGTCAGAGCCAGGAAGGGCTGAAAGGGTACTCGAAGATGGGAAAACTAAGGCACAGAGAGGGGAGGGGTCTGGCCTAAGGTCATCAAAAAAGTGAGGAGATGCTGAGTCCATCCAGCTCAGAGACCTGCACATTGTATGCCCCTTGCACACTGTCAGCATCCACATTCCAGGGAAAAACACGACCATGATGATACAGAAGAGCAGATCGCCCCAAAATGACAATGTGAGCCACCCCATCCAGAGTGGGGAGGTAGAAGGTTCCCCCCCATCCAGAGTGGGGGAGGATTGCTGGGTCACTTCAAGACACCCTAAGTTTTCACACGTCTGAGGTCTGCCCTCTTGCTCCAGAAGAATAAATGAAGAAAATTTATCCAGGACAACACATGAGGATGAGGATAGCCCAAGGGCAAGGGCTCTGACTGCCTCCCTTCCTGGGGAGGACTGAGGTGAATGTGTGGCCCCCAAACAGGCATGAAGAAGGGGCTTGAGACCTATAAGAGCCATGTTTACCCTCCACTCACCCCCTCATCCTCATATATTCCCTGTCCTCACCTCCCACAAAGGGTCAGGCATGCTGAGAGGAGGTGGGGATGGACCAGGAGAGGATGGGGTTTGTGAGATCACATGTGTACACACTGAGTTGTGGATCTGACTACCAGCACATCATCACATTTACGTGACCAAGTGTGTGTAAAAGGGTTGCCCCTGTTTAAAAAAAGTAGTTTGTAAAAATTAAATAGGAATATAAAATGGGTGACTAGCAGTGTGGACCGGAAGAAACCCAGCCAGAATTGCTGAGGCTGTCAAGATTACCTTTGAATAAATAGTCATGGGGATGTAAAGTAAACCATAGGGAATATAATCAATAATATTGTGATAACTGTGTATGATGCTAGTTGGGTACTGGAAACAACAAGGGGAACATTATGTAAAATATATGATTGTCTAACCACTAAGCTGTGCACCTGAAATCAATACAAAATTGAAGGAAAAAAATTATTTCTGAACTTCCTGGTAGTCAGTGTAAAAGGTGAAATGAGTCCATTACAGTGCCTGGTTAGGCATGTCTTCTGGGGATATGCCTGTTTATAACAATGTCTCTGAATATATTAGGGTATATGGGTAAGTGGCAGAGAGAAGAGAAAGCACAGAGTGTCAGGGAATTAAACAGCAATGAGCTTCCTGGTAGCAAGGGCAAGAGGGGAAACTGATACATAACAATATCTCCTTAGGCATGTCTTCCTCTGGGCCCTACTTGCTTGTGAGGGTGTCTCGAAGCAAGTATGAGACAAGGGGAATAAAAGCAGATACAAAGTTTTTGAATATAAGATAGCTATGAGTTTCCTGGAAGCCAGGATGAAAGGAAATATGAACTAAAGAAGCAATTCAGTATTTTCTCATCAGTAAATGCCCACTTGTGATAGTGGATCTGACCAACTGCATGCAAAAGTGTATAGCTGTGGTAGCAGATATTTCTGAGCTCCCTGGAAGCCAGGGTGAGAGAGGAAATAGGTTGAGTTTGAGCCTGGTCAGGCATGTCTTTCTTGCTGTATGTGGCTGGGCCTTGGCCGGAGGTTCAGACAGGGCAGTGTCTGGCAGCCAGGCGTGCACGGCTGTCCTCAGCAGGGCTCCAAGGCCGGGCGTAGCCGGCATGGGGAAGTAGCAACCGGTCCCGAGTGCCGTCGGGGCTGATGAGGCGCTGGGCAGCCAGTAGGTACTCTCGATGGAGGGCCATTGGTGGGCAGGGGCAACGGCCCGGTGCCCACACATACTCAAGGGCCTGCAGTGGCGAACGGTTCTTGTAGACAAGCTGCACACGCACCTCATACCGGGTCTCCTGAGTCTGGCGGAGGTGGCCCAGCACTCGAGCCCGGAACACTGTGGGCGGGGTGGTGCTGAGGCCAATTGGATGGTCCACCCTGGACACCCGTTCATGCACCCATTGTCATATGAGGAAACTGGGGGTCAGATGGGACATGGGGGGTCCGGGGACTGTGGAGAGGGTACTGGGGTCAGGATCAGGTCAGGATCATGAGGACTTAGAGGTCAAATTAGAGCAAAAGGGTCAAATCAAGGAGTCAAATTAGGGCCAGAAGGGGTCAAGTTGGAGTCAGATCAAGGAGTAGAAGGTAAAGTTAAAACAGGGTCAGATGTCAGCAGGAAAGGAGCCAAATTCAGGTCAATTAGGGGCCAGATGAGGGTTAGGGCAAAGGGTCTCTCACCAAAGTCACTGCCGCAATAGTGGAGCAGCCGGTGGGCACGACCTCGGGTGTCAGGACAGGGTGGGCAGGGATCTGTGAGGTGGTGCAGTTAGTGCATAGGCCTCACTTCCCTGCTTGCCCCCTCCCTGGCTGTTCCCCACTCACCTGGAGTGGAGTTTGGAGCCTGTGTGGGGAAAGCAGCCGGGGCTTCATGGGGCTCAGGGGATTGAGGTTCCACCTCTAGAGGCAGCAGCTGCCTCAGGGACAAGCCCAGGGCCTGTGCCTGCTCCTGGAAGGGGCCGTAGCGCTCACGAGGGAGCCAGAACTCAAATTCAATGCCAGGATTGGGCTCCTGCAGGAGGACCTGAGGTGAAGGTCACATACTAGGGAGCTGAAATCAGAACTGATAGCCCAGCCTCCCCCTTCTGACTCTCTACTCCAGCCTTGCCCTCTGATTCTCTACCCTGTCTCCTTCCTCTAACTCTCTACCCCAGCCTGGCCTCTCTGACCCTCTCTAATGCAGTCTCACCCATCTGGCCCTCTGTTCCTAGCCTCCCCACTCTCACTGTCTCCTGCCTGCCCCTCTCTGCCCCCAGCCTCCCCTAAATCCTTTAATCTCTACCACCACCACGTACCCAGCCACCCCCTGGAGGCCGGACATGCACCTGCAAGATCAGGTCTTGGGAGGTGGGTCCGGCCGCGCGCAGCGTCTCTTCTGGCCCTGAGGCGCGGGTGTAGACGACGCGGGTGCCGGCTGCTTCGTAGGTCCCGGGCGGGCTGACCTCCCAGTTACCGTTGAGCACCGAGCGCCCGTCGCCCTCAATCAGCGCTGCAATGGAAGGGTCAATCCAGGGTCCCCGGAATCCGCTCCTCCACCTCCCGACTCTGGCATCCCCCTCCTCCAGCCTCAGTCTCCCAGCTTCATCCGGGTGGCCAGCGGGGCGCCTCCCGCCTAGGATTCTGTGATACCTAGGTGGTTGCGGCTCCGATGGGCGGCGTAGATGTGTCTGGCGCCCTCGGGGATCAGTGTCACGTTCCAGTATCCGGTGAAAGCTCCTGGGAGGGAGGGAAAGAGGGAGTTGGGGTGAGGGTGGCGGTTTATTTGAGGGGTGCTTTGAGTATTAAATGATACTGAGGCTAAGGAGGTTAACCTTGGTACTGGTACCCCCAAAACGCTCCGTAAGCTTTTGGAGTTATGATTATTATCGCTTAAGTGAGGTAGCGAAAGAGTTAGAACCCCATCGAGGAAGAGCGGGACAATTTGGCGGTGACCAATCAGAATGATGTGCGAGAGGGTGCTGTGCCGCAGACTGCCCAATCAGCACGGGATTTCAGTTCCGTGCCCGCGGTTTCTTAAAGGGTCTGCTCTGGAAGAGTAGAGGACGGGGTGAGTGGTCACCGGTGTCACGGAACACGCGCTGCACAAAGAGGCACGAGTCGTTAGCGCCGCCGCAGCGGCCGCAGTGGTCCTCGCGGGCATTGGAACCCATCAAACCGTCACAGCCGGCGCTCTAAAGGGGTGGGGAGGACACATGTCTTAGCCCCCTGCCCCACCCGAGGCCTTGGCCTATGATAGGAGGCCGGGCTCTGAGAACTGGGAGGCGGGGCCTAGAGATGAGGATGGGGCCCTAAAATAAAAGAGATAGGACCTGGGAGCAAAAGGATGGGCCCAGAAGGAGAAGCCTGGGTGGGGCCTAGAGAGGGGCGAGGCCTGAGGAAGCGGGAGGGACTATGGAACAAAAGAAATGGGGGGCCTGGGCGGAACCTGAGTAAAAGGGCGGGCCCTGGAGAGAAGTTTGGAGTGGAGCCTGTGAAGGGGCGTGGCCCTGTGGGAGGGGTGGGGTTATGAGAGGGAGAAACCTAGAACTAAATGAATGAGGTCTGGGGGCGGGGCGTGAACGGGAGGTGGGCGGGTCTTGGCGAGTCCTTACGAGGCAGCGGCCAGCCACGCAGAGTTCCTGGCTACCTCCGCTGCAGGGAGTGCCGTCCAGGACGCGGCCAAAGCTGTGGTAGAAAGCATGCCCCATGGCCAGGCAGTTGAGGTCGCATTGGTTGGGGGCTGGGGGCAGAAAGACAGAGTGGACTCAGGGGTCTTCTATACCAGTTACAGCCTCCTTCCGGCCAGGCTTCCCCAGAAAGCCATCCCCTTGGGCAGATGAGGCCCAGAGACAGCCAAAACCGCACACGGAAGTTGAAGCAAAGCCAGGACTGAACGCAGGCATTCTGCCTCCTTCCTGGGACTCTTCCAGGCAAGTATCCTGGAACTGCATGCATGCATTCATTCATTCCACAAATACTCATTGAACGCCTACTATTTTCCCGACAGGGTTCTAGGCTCAGCGTTGAGCAGAACTGCACCCAGCAGGTGCCCAATAAAAAGTAGGTCCCAAGTAGCTTGGGTGTGTCTTTGGCTCTCCTCAGGACTCAGTTTGCCCCTCTGCTTGGCAGCAGGGCGTAATGGACAGTCCACTCAAGCACTCGGCCCTATAGCTCTGATTCCTGTTCCTCCTGCTCAAGATCCCACCTCCCTGAGCTTGGCTGGCTGACCCTGCCTGGAATGGAGTCCAAGATGGCCCTGGTGGGCCAATTCTTAGGGAAAAGGAAAAAAAGAACCTATAAGGTTTACAAATGGAACTTTCTTCATTCTAGGCTTTTCTTATCTGTATCTGCTCTCTTCCAGGCATCTGAAGCTGCCTGTCTTCCTTCAACCTGGAGGCATGCTGCCCCAGGCATACAGTTATATAACTCACTATTTTCAGCTCAATACAGGCAACAATATCTTCTATCAGGATAAGTTTGAAAACTGTTGGCCTCTGGATATAGTCCTGAGTAAATCCTCAGCCTGCTGTTCAACCTTGTGCCCATTATGCCCGCTGCCAAGCAGAGGGGGAAACTGAGTCCTTGGGAGGGCCAAAGATACCCTGTGCAGAATAGACCCTGCCTCCCTCTGCCTCTGCTTTATACCTCACACATGTTTTTTTTCCTTCTGTTCACCAACTCCTACATAATCTTCAAAGCCCAAGTGCTAATGTCTACTTCTCTTTACAACCCTCCAAGTCCCCCTTCATTTTTAGCAGCCACATCTTCCTGCCAGCTCTGAGTTGTTTCCTTTAGATCAATAGTAGGGCAGGCTACTCACCGCCATAGAAAGGCACCCATTGGTAAGTCTTCTGGAGGCCCAGGACAGGGTGGCCATTGTAGAGGGCACACTGGAGGTCTCGGAAGGGCATGGCCCCTGGGGGACAGTCCTGGAGACAGAGATGGGTGGGACAGCCTCAGGGGAGCCCAGAAAATTTGCAGTGTGGCAAACATATTTGGAGGCATGAATGGGGAAGCAGGAGGGCTTCAGGGCAGACTCAAGGGTCTTGGAGGTAGACAGAACTTACCGGCAACTGGCAGAGGCGGTACTCATGGGTGTCCCCCCAACACAGCTCTTCCCTGGAAAACCTATGAGAAGCAGGGTGGCCAGAGTGTGGTCAGGTCCTTCAGTAACCCCCTTCTCTGAGCCTGCCTGCATACCTTCCACCTCCCCCGCACCAACCCTACCCACATTCCAAGTGGATCAATGGGATTAAAAGGCACAGCATGTGTGGGCAGGCCACGGGTGTGGTCAGGGGCTGGGCCTGGCTGGCAGGAGAGGAGGGTCAGGAACTCCCTTGCACCCACTCAACTGAGCCCCAGCATCGTGCTCACTGCTCACCGGATACAGCGCCGACTGCGTACAGAGAGCCCCTGCCCACAGGAGCTGGAACAGCGGCTCCAGGAACCCCATGGTGTCCACTCTCCCAGACCCTACTTGGAGAGAGAGAGGCATGGTCAGCCTGGAGGGGAGGTTGGTAACCCCCACATGACTACTGGGTCCCCATGCCCAATGTCCCCTAGGCTTATGTCCCCCCTTACCTGAGCACTGCCCCCCCAACCACAGTTCAGGAGGGTCCACAGCAGGAACAGGAGGTTCCAGAGGGGGTGGGGTCTGGGGGAGCAGAGGGGGGGTCATTGCAGGGTAGGCATCAGCAGGCCAGGGGTTGAAACCCAGCTCTGCCCTGACTGTGTTATTTGGGGCAGTAACTTAACCTCTCTGAGCCTCCCCTTCTCATCATCTGAACAATGTGTTGATAATACAGCCCCTCTCACAGGAAAGTTTTGAGGGGTCCTTCGGATCAGGTAAGAAAAACGGGAGGCACAGAGCCTGGAATGGAGATGAAGAGCTCAAATTATTATTATTATTGCTTATTGTCTTATGATGCACACAATAGGTGCTTAATCAGTGTCTAATGACAGAACAAATCATTCCAGGATAGTGCACAAGGGTCTCTAGGATCAGGGCTCCTCACCACTCTCTCCACCATCATTGCTTCTACCTTCCTGTGTGGCCAGGGGCCAGCTATTATGCTTCCCAAGGCCTCAGTTTCTCCATCTGTGCCATGGGGACCAGCTGGGGTCAGTCCAGAACTCTGAGACCTTGCAGAAGGTGCAGCCAATGGGGGCTGGGTCAGGGACCAGGTTCCTCCAGGGCCCACTCTATCCCAAACCCTGGATAGCAGGTGTCTCAGGATTGAGGAGGGGTAGAGAAGGGTGACCTGATCCTGGACCAGCCATCACCTCATGGCCTCATGAGCAGAGGGATGGAGGACCAGGGCGGTATGTGAAGGGAAAGTGGCCCCCAATGAGGATGATGCAGGAAATAGGGATACAGCTACGGTGGGGATATTAGGTTGGCAACTTCACCTACCCAAGCCTCAGTTTTCCTATCTGTCAGGAGAAAAATAAAGCCACTTGCCATCCACACCCTCCATGTGACCATGATATTGGCAGAGAGAGGAGGAGGGAAGTGGCCACCTTGTGAGTCCTTAACTTGGGCCAGAGCCAGGGAGCCCAGCAGTCAGCAGTCCCCAAAGAACACAAAGGACAAACTGGAACCCTCCAGCCCCTGAGCTCTTGGGCACTGGGTAGGGGAAGACTGGGTCTCGCTGGATCCATGGCCCCTCTTGAGCCTCAGTTTCCCTGTATCTCAGAGCCTCCTGGCTCTGACATTTGGCCCTGAGGCACCAAGGGTCTGGTGCTGAGGTGGCTCCAGGTGCTGAACACCTGGGAGACTACCCAGAGCTGTGCTGCCAGTTGCATCTAAGCCCCTCTCTGAACTCAGGGCTCTTGCTAGCCCAGGAAGCAAGAAGTTTGGAGGGGAAAGCAAAGATAGGGGAGGGCGGTTGGTCTTCTGACACCCCCTCCTGACTCAGCACTGAGGTGGGGATCTAGGCGATGGAAGATAAGGGGCTAAATGGACCACCCTCCCACTCCCCAGAGCCCTCTCCCCAAAGAGCAGGACGCTTACACCCGGTTTTGGCTGAACTCCTGACTGTAGGTGCGGTCTCAGGGCAAGCCACGCCTCTGGGCCTCAGTTTCCCCAGGAAGAAATGAGGATGAGCTTTCCCTCATCTTAGGGATTGCTGCCTCACTCCACTCCTACCCGTTCCCCTGCCCCCAGTCCTACAGGACCCAGGAAACGCGGACTCGGATAGTGGGGGGATAGGAAGAAGGGCTTACCCGCGACGTAGAGCTCTGGCTGTGCGTCCCGGTTCTCTCGAGGACTCCAGAACGAGCGGAAGCGGCGGGGCCCTCGGGGAGAGGCGGGGGGATCCCAGGGCGGCCCCTTCCACTCGGCCTCCCAGGGCGCGCCCAGGCCGGGGTCCAGAGGGTCGGCGGCCCCGTGCGCCCTCACGCGGCGGTGAAGCGCTTCCGCGTGGATCTGCGGCAGGGGACTGACCTGTACCGGCCCGGGCACCCCAGAACTGCGGTCTGGTGTCTGAGAGTCCATGTCCCGGTGACCTTGGGAAGCCCAGGGCGGGAGAGCCACGAGGGTACTGTCCGTCCTTACCCCCACACTGGGGCTGCTATTCCGGGCGCCGCGCTCAGGGCCCGGGAATGTGCTCGAACCGAAATCGCCCTGCCCCGGTTCCGGGAATCCGGGGGCCTGCCCCCTCTCCACCGACGCGCAGATCACGTCCCGCGAGGGTCCCCTTTCCCGGTCACAACCTCCTTCTCTGATCCTTCCCTCAAGGTCAGCCTACTCAGGAACCCGCGCTCTTGAGTTCGGACCCTGGAGTTCTTAATCCAGGTCCTGGCCACCCCAAGTGCAAGGCCCCCAGAGCACAGGGGAGACGCTCAGCCCCAGGGTTTGGGCGTGAGAGGCGGGGAGCCCATTCCCGGCCGTCACATTTCCGGGCGCTGCTGTCACCAGAGGACGCACCCTACTCCGCCTCCCGCCCTCCCTGCCAGGCCCCCGGACTGCGAGAGGCAGCTCTGGAGCCAGACCCAAGTCCAGAGGTCCCAATTCTACGTGGCCATGGCCCCACCCTCTCCGACCTCAATTTTCCCATCCAGGCAAGGGGGCCACCGCGACCCTTTCAGCTAGACTTTAGCTCTTTGCGCGTACTGGTGAGATCAGGGTTACTCTAGGGCTCCCATCACCGCATTCTTTCCCTGGAGCAGCCTCCCCCAGCCCCAGGGACACAGCAGGCGTCCTTTGCTCGCCCCCTCCCCCAGCCCCTCACTGTCACACACGGTGCTCCCTGATAGGTGGGTTGAAGAGATGGGGCATCAGGGAGGCAATGGGTGGTCTGCTCCTCTGCTCCCACACTCACCCGGCCCGGTTTGAGTGCCTCCTCCTCCCTGAAGCCCACCATGTGTCTCCCAGCCCTGACTACGGGGAGAGAGGGGTTGCAGGTCCAGATCTGTTTGCATTCTAGCCTGGAGCAACTCACAACAGAGCCACTCAATGCCATTTATTTCTTCAACATTTATTGAGAACCTACTATGTGCTAATACATTGGTGAACCACTCAGCCAGTCAGGCTAGTGAGGCAGGCAGCCCCTGGGTAGGTATAATCTCACCTTGTCATCAGGTGCTCAGAGGAAACAGCCAGGCCTACTGCAGATAGCGGGGCATTGGGAAGGCCCTCATTGATGAGAGGATTGCCATAAGAGGTGGGGCAGGCAGCCCAGGCAGAGAGTACAGCAAGTGGAAAGGAGTTGAGGCTGGACTAAGAGAATAAATTTAGGAGGTGGATTGGGTGGAGCAAGTGGCTTGAGTGAGGGAGGGAATAAAGTCACAGGCAGGGGAAAGAGCCTTGGGAGATGGAATGGAGTGTTTTAGCCAAAAAAAAAGCCACCCCTGGCTACTGTGGGGGAAGGAGAGATTGAGAGGCAGGGGCTGAGCCAAGATGTGGGTGGAGGTGAGAGCAGGGGGTGGCTCTCGCTATTTGGGAGAAGAGTCTGCTGGAGTTGCTGATGGATCCCATGGGGGAAGTGTTGGGAAGGTGTGAGGCAGGAACTTGGCTTGACTGGGAGGTGCCCCATATATTGAGGGGGAGGGGCAAGTCCAGCGGTCACTTCTTAACTGCTCTGTGGAGAGATGTCTGTGGATGACCAAGAAGAGGCTGGGAGTCCAGGGGTCATGTCTAGGTGGAGGTGGACACATAAGTGTCCTTGGCACATGGGGCTGTTTAGTGTCATGAATGAGGTCACAGGGTATGATTGTGGACAGAAAGGGGCTGGGGGAGGAGAACAGGTGGGTGTGCGGTCCCAGAGGCTGCACAGGGCTTCTGGGAGGAGACAGGTACAGCCTGTGTAGGCAAGATGAGGGTGTGGACTAGTGGACCAGTGGACCAATGAATTGGCATCGATGGAGGCAGTTATGACCTTGATGAGGTTAAGCGTGGTTGGACAGAGCTGGAGAGAGGATGGCAGGAGAGGGAGAGAGGATGGTGAAAGCAGGTACCCTCTTCTGAGCACTGATTATATATCAAGCTATGGACTGGGGCCTTGGGGTCATCAGAAATAAATCAGGCTTGGCACAAGGACTCCACAAAGCGGAAAATTGCATCCCCCTCAGAGGTGCCTTATTCCCCAAACCCCAGACATGGTGCTCTGCGAGGTGTGTATTCAGCAGGTATTGTGCTCTGCAAAAAGTGCATACAGCAGGCACTATGTCCTCAATGGAGCATATAAAGCAGGTATTATGCTCTGGAGGAAACGTATACAGTAGGTGTTGCATCCTATAGACATGTATACTGCAGACACTTTGCCATTCAGGTAGCGTATACAATAGGTACTGTACCCTGTAGGGAGTGCATATAGTAGACATTGAACCTTCCAAGGAATGCCTACAACAGTCACTGTATCCCGAAGAAAGTGCATGCAGAAATCACAGCACCATGCAAGGAAGGTTTACAGTTTTTTGTTTTTTGTTTTATCTTTATTGTTGAATGTATTACAGATGTTCCTAATTTTTCTCCCATTGACCCCTCCTCCCCACTCCCACCCCCTTCCCGCCTTTTCCCACACTGTTGTCTGTGTCCATTGGTTATGCATATAAGTTTTTTGGTTTATTTCTTCCCACCCCCAACCCCTTTCCCTTTGAGGTTTGTCAGTCTAGCAACCAATTTGTACTTCTTAATCCCTTCACCTTTTTCACCCATTCCCCCAACCCCCTTCCCATGTGGTGACCTACAAAATGTTCTCTGAATCTATGAGAATGTTTCTGTTCTGCCTGTTCATTTTGTTTGTAGATTCCATTGTCAATAGACATGTATTCATTGCTATTTTGTTTGTTCATATATTTTATCTTTTTCTTCAAAAAGACCCTTCATCATTTCATATAATAACTGTTTGGTAGTGATGAACTCCTTTAACTTTTTCTTGTCTGGGAAACTCTTTATATGGCCATCAAACCCTGGCCGGTTTGGCTCAGCGGTTAAAGCGTTGGCCTGCGGTCCGGAGAGACCCGGGTTCGGTTCCCGCTAAGGGCACGTACTTCGGTTGCAGTTTGTCCCCGGCCCTGGTTGGTCGTGCGGGTGGCAGCCACTCGATGTGTCCCTTTCACATCGATGTTTCTCTCTCTCTCTCCCTCCTGCTCTATCTGAACAAAGAATGAAAAAGTGTCCTCGGGTGAGGATAAAAAAATAAAAAATAAGTATATGGCCATCGATTCTAAATGACAGCTTTGCAGGATAGAGTAATCTTGGTTGTAGGGTCTTGCTTTTCATCACTCTGAATATTTCTTGCCACTCCCTTCTGGCCTGCAAAGTTTCTTTTGAGAAATCAGCTGACAGTCTTATGGGAACTCCCTTGTAGGTAACTAACTGCTTTTCTCTTGCTGCTTTTTTTTACCCCCACCCAAGGACATTTTTCTATTTTTTTTGTTCAGACAGAGTGGGAGGGAGAGAGAGGAAGAGAGAGAGAGAGAAACATTGACGTGAAAGGGACACATCGAGTGGCTGCCACCCGCACGACCAACAAGGGCTGGGGAAAAACTGCAACTGAGGTATGCGCCCTTAGCGGGAACCGAACCCGGGTCTCTCTGGACCGTAGGCTGACGCTCTAACCGCTAAGCCAAACCAGCCAGGGCTCTCTTGCTGCTTTTAGGATTCTCTCTTTGTCTTGAACCTCTTGCATTTTGATGATGATGTGTCTTGGTGTGGGCCTCTTGGGGTTCATCTTGTTTGGGACTCTCTGTGCTTCCTGGACTTGTATGTCTGTTTCCTTCACCAAGTTAGGGAAGTTTTCTGCCATTATTGTTTCAAATTGGTTTTCGATTTCTTGTTTTCTCTCTTCTCCTTCTGGCACCCCCAAGATGTGAATGTTGGTACGCTTGAAGTTGTCCCAGAGGCTCCTTACACTATCCTCATTTTTTTGGATTCTTTTTTCTTTTTGCTGTTCTGATTGGGTGTTTTTTGCTTCCTTAGATTCCAAATTGATGGTTTGCTTCTTGGCTTTACCTACTCTACTATTGAATCTGTGTAAATTATTCTTTATTTTAGTTAGTGCCTCCTTCATTTCTGACTGGTCCTTTTTTATGCTCTTGAGGCCCTCACTAAGTTCACTGAGGTTCTCACTACGTTTATTGAGCATCCTTATAAGCAGTATTTTAAACTCTGCATCTGTTAGGTTGCTTATCTCCATTTTGCTTAGTTCTTTTCCTGGAGATTTATTCTGTTCTTTCATTTGGGACCTGTTTCTTTGTCTCCTCATTTTGACTGCCTCCCTGTTTGTTTCTGTGTATTACTTAATGAGAGGTATGGGGCTATCTGAGACCAGATGCTGCTTGTTTGAAAGAATTTAGGAAAACCTGAAGCAAGATCTAAGACAGGCCAATCCTATGGTTAAGCAACTGGCAACAGCTTGGGTGGGCCTGAAAGTTGAGAGGGGCAGGGCCTCAGGGAATCACCCCTGTGGGCAACCAGTGTGAGCTGGGTTGCTGGAGTCCCAGATATGGTGGCTGTCTGCCGCCCCAGGGAAGGGCTCACCAAAGGAACAAAGGCCTTTGACAGCACATTTGTCCCAGACAAAGCCTCCTCTCCAGCTCTTGCTCCAATGCCAAACAGCTCAGTTCTTCCCTGTATGTCTCTGGGGCCACTTGAGCTGCCTCCCCTCCAAGGGAGTGAGTCTGATAAGTCCCTGTGCGGGCCCTTTAAGAAGAGCTGCCTGGGGCTCCAGCTACCTCAGCCTCCCTGAGCCTCAGTTCCCACTGTTTTTTTCAGCCAGAAGTTATGGGGACTTCTCTTCCTGGCACTGGAACCCTGAGTGGGGCGCCTGGTGTGGGACGGGGACCCCTCAGTCCTCAGGAAGGACCTTCCCAGCTGAGGTGTCCTCCTGATTTTTATCTGCCACACGTGGGTGTGGGACCAGCCCCTCCACCTCCGCCCCTCCAATCAGAATTGATGTGGCTGCTTCTTTAATTCCGTAGCTGTAGGACTTCCATTCAGCTTGATTTCAGGCGGTTTTGAATGATGGTTGTTCTGTAATTCAGTTGTATTTTTGATGTGGTTGTGGGAGGACGCGACACCATGTTTACCTACGCCACCATCTTGACCAGAAGTGCAGAAGGTACTTTTTAAAGAAAAATATATTTTTATTGATTTTTTAGAGAGAGAGGAAGAGATAGAAACATTAATTGGCTGCCTCCTGCATGCCCCCTACTAAGGATCGAGCCCCAAACCTGGGCATGTGCCCTGAACAGGGGAAATTGAACCGGACCTCTTAGTCCATGGGATGGTGATCAATCCACTGAGCCACACTCAGTAGGGTCAGACACTGAGTAGGGTCAGAAGGTACTTTCTACAGGGAACACCTACAGCAGGCCTTGTACTCTGCTTGGGAACCCTAGCGCTTGAAGAATCACCA